ATAAACTCTGTGTCTGTGTGTGTGTGTGTGTATGTGTGTGTGTGTGTGTAGTCCCTGCTGTTCTCTGAGCTTGGTTGTTTTCTTGCAGATGTTTCGTTACCCGACTAGGTAACATCTTCAGTGCTAGAAGGGAGTGGGGTTTGCTCTCTGCTTATATACAGCAGCTTGCTCTGTCAGTGTTGGTGGGGTGTGGTGGGAGTTGAAGTCCACCCATCTTAAAGTTGCTGAGGTTGAGGAATCCTGCTTTACAGGGCCTTTCCTTCCAAGGGGAGATAGAAGCCCCAAGTTACAATCCTTTGAATAACTCTTATCCTATGCCTTTTGTGGTATAACAGCACTCTCTGCTAGCCAGAACTCATTTTGAGAGATACCTATTAGGCGGCACTTAACAGAAACAGACTAAAGGTACACCGCTGAGTACTTCTAAAGAGAATCCAGAAAGGCTAAAGAGGATGGCAAGGAGCTACCTTGGCAAATGGAATTTTTGCATGACTACAGCTGTCATGGCAGCTTTCTATGTGTAAAGTTATCCTTCCTTCTCCCAATCAAAACCACAATATGAGAATGCCTGTAATACATTCTGAATTATTATTATTGATTGATGTTATAAATCGCTAACTCCTATATAGATTTACGAAGGCTCACTGCAGTATAAAACCTCCAAAATAATTAAAAAATAGAGTTTCATAAATCAAAACAAACCAACAAATGTAATCCATAATATATAGTAATTTAGCTAATAAAATCCAATTTCAGAAGATGCACAGTCATTTTCCAAAGATGGTGGACTCGTAGACGAGTTCAAACTTTGCTACCTTCTGGAAGACCATTCTTGAGGGCAGCCACATGTACACACCCAGGCCCAATGTTTGCCCATTTCTCACTTACAGTGTGCCCGTTCTGAACAAGGTTCCCTGCCAGTAAATAGGTGACATGCAACTGGGCTCCTGAATTCTCCTTCCGTTTCCTTTCTACATAATCATATAACATTCTGTAAAAAAGAGGGCAAAGGCTGAGGTTAAAATGGATAATTAATTTTTGAGGCTTTCAATAACTGTTTGTCCACTGAAAAACTAAACAGAGCATTTGTAATCCAAACTAAGCTATGTAGCTCAGGATTAAACACCTATAAAAACTGAAGACTAACAGTGCATTGGGTCTCATCCTCACTGGTGCCAAATGAGATTTTTAGATTAGCTTCAGGCTCATGACCCTATCTTCCTGAAATCTAGTCGTCTCTGTGCAGTGAACTTTTAACTTTTGTGTTTGTTTTTTTTTAAAAGGACCATAAGGTGCTATAGTTTCTACCACTTGCTCAGCAGGTTCACTACAACATTTCAGAAACAAGTTTATTCCTTACCTGCTGTTTCTTATACCCTAAGAGAGTAAACTAAATCCTCTGCAGTTTGTATTAGAACCCAATCTGATAATCTAACCATTACTAACAAGCTTGGATTGGCCAGGATTCCTTGTTTCCTAGCCAATTTGGAAAATAGAAAAAAGGGAAACCAGATTCTAAACCAATCCAAACATTCTTATATAACTATTTACTTAAATTAAGATGGACATGTAACAAAACCTGCCACACCTAGTCCGAGAGGTTGTGAGCCTAATCGGGACTGCGATTTCCATGGCTAAGTGTAGCGTTCATCACATGACCGTGTTGCTTAGCGACGGCAGTCCAAATTGCAGTCGTTAGGCCAGGACCTCCTGCTTTTCCTGTCCTGGGAGAACTGCCTCTGCTTCAACTCCCTCCACCCATCTCTGCCATTTTGGCCACAGGATGGCCAAAATGAAGAGGCCGCTGTATGCCGCCGCTCCTGCCCCCAGCTGACCTCTGCCGCCCTCCCCGCCCTGCCCAGCCCAACTCCAGCCCAGTTTGGGAGACGCGGCCTCTCCTACAGCCAAGGGCCTGCAAACGCTCTCCCACCCGAGTCCCAGTCAGCTTGGCTGAACTTGGCCACGGGGACTGTGAGCAGCGGCAGTGACGGTGCCTTCCCCGGGGTAGACCCGAGCCACAGAGCGGTCTTGCAGGCAGGAACTCCCCAAGCAGAGCACGTGGCACACTGCAGGACCTGAGCAGGGAGCAGCAGGTTGCAGAGGTGGAGCTGCAGCTGCGGCTGCCCCAAAAGTCTCCACCCGCACCCCGGGGCTCCCTGGTAACTGCTCACTCCTGGCTCACTTCTGCAGCGCAAAGGCCGGAGAACCACCATAAAAGCAGCAGCGAGCCCCAGTGGAGGGACTCACATGTTGGCAGTGGCTCTTCGTGGGGAGAAGCAGAAACTGCTGCAGGTGGTGGGTCATGCTGGGACTTTTGCACCTGGGTGCCAGGCAACTCCAGGGCGGGCCAGTGGAAACCCCTCCCGGCTGAGCAGGCGCATCATGACCCCTGGCTGGCTGAGATTCTTGAAACGGGGCAGGCCCGCCAGGAGCCCAGCGGCCAGGGAGGTGGAGGTGCGGCGAAGGTCAGCTGGGGGTGGCAGAATATAGTGGCCTCTTCATCTTGGCCTTGCTGTGCAGGTTGGCCAAAAGGGCAGAGATGACAGGTTAGATAGGGAGGTGGGGGGAGATAAAACAGAGGCAGTTTGTGCAGGGCAGGAGAATATAACTGTGGGACTCTGTGATGGTTGTAAATGCAGGCCAGTCACCAAGCACCCAAATTTTCATCACGGGACTGCAGGGATGCTGCGATGGCTGCAATTTTGAGAACCTGTCTTAAGTCCCTTTTTTTCAGTGCTGTCATAACTTTGAACAGTCACCGAACGGAATGGACATAACCCAAGGACTACCTGTAGTCAATTATACATAGATTGATGAACATGGTACGATAAGTCACAATTACAAGGATCTGAACACTTCCCACATTTCCTTCTAAAATCGTACCAATGATATTTAAACTGTAGCAAGAAAACTGAAAATACGTTAGAGATTATTTGCTTCTTTTTCAGTCTGAGCTACTAAGTACAGATAAGACACATTAATACTTACTGCTTTGCTTGATTCACATGAACTCCTAAGGTAAAGCTCAGCCATTTGTACGTTACCTGCAATGGAAGGCATTTCATTATTTTAGCAAAAATACCAACAGCTGCCACACAATTAACTTCCACTACTACCATCGGTCTGGAGTTGGGAAGAGTCCTTGAGACTGATCTCTCTGGCCTCTGCTTGAAGACAGAACGGACACCTCTACAGGTAACTGATTCTATAGGTCAGTCCCTCTTACATTCATATAATTTTTTCCTAATGTTCAACCAAATATTGATGAGACTGTCATTTTTAACTGCTCCATTTAGCACATTATTGGTGGACCAATTTTAAAAGGAAAAAAAATGTAAGAAACTCAAGCCATTCAACCTTTAATGCACATGCTCCCCACCCTCTCGCCATCTCATGTGCTGGCTGGTCCTCTGTTCTCCATGAGCTTTGGTTCCTTAATCAGGCAATTATATGTTTATATAACTTATATTATGTACAGCACGCACACGTATAAATTATAAAAATACCCGCACACGTAGATAAAAATACCTACATACACATTAGTAGTAGCATCTGTAGATTGCTTTTGCTACACAACCCTTGAAAACCTTTTCTTTTCAAGAAACACACATGTATATTGTCCTTCACGATGGAATTCTTAGGAACAGTTTACCTCTCTGCTGACTTTTGGGAGAGCTGTAAAAACTTGGCTTGAGAAAGCCATGTGAAGGGCTTTTGCATAAATAAAGTAATTAAACTGTAAACGGGAGCCCCCCACCCAATTGTTGTTTGGAGATTTATTGTTCCAGAGAGGTCATCTCATTCTTTTTTTAAAAAATAAACACACACACTTATTTACCATTTTTCTTGCTGTAAGAAGGGAATGCTCTGGATTGGGGGGCACGTAAGCCCCCCCAATAAACAGATGCGTACCCAACCCTGCCATTTGAAGGCCCAGGCCCCCTAAAATCACAGCAGAGGGTCTGGCTCCCGGCCGGCCAATTGCGGGGATCCAGCTTCTGATTCCTGGAGGGACTCTGAGCCTAAAAGGCCAGGAGTATTATGGGATGCGGGGTTCCTCGCAGGCTTGCAGAAGCAGCAGCAACAAAAGGAAATGGGTCATGAGGCTTGACGGGGTCTCAAGAGTCGCCCCCTCGATCCCCCTCTTTCGACCCCCCCAAGACCCTCGGGCTACTGCAATTCCTATCACCCGCTGCGGATGATGGGAGTTGGAGTCGGGCACGCTGGGGGAAGGGAGTTGGAGACGAGGCGGGGAGGCGGGTCTAGAAAGGGTCCAGCTCCTGAGAAAACGAATTAAACGGATTTCAGTAATTAATTGACTTTCTTACTGGCCGTGGACCCCCCCCTCCTCTCGCCGCCATCC